GGTTCGCCTCCATTTACCTATCAAAAGCCAGTCCTTCCTTGCACTCCACTGCTCCCATTCCTCTGCTCTTCTTAGAGAAAATGTCTTGAAGTAATTTTCTGCACTCCCTATGTCTATTTCCTCACCTCCAGCCTCTCTTTAATTCACTCCACTCTGGTTTCCATCTGTACCACTCCATTTGAACTGCTTGTTTCAAGGTCACCAACAGCCAGTAGGAAGCAAAGCCAAATGTGGTTACAGTGTGTTCATCCTTCTTGACCTCTCAGCAGGAGCATTTGACACAGTTGACCAAGCTCTTGTTCTTGCAACTAATTTTCCCCATTGACTTATGTTTTGTTTTGTTGTTTTGAGATGGAGTCTCGCTCTGTAGCCTACAGTGCAGTGGTGCAGTCTCGGCTCACCACTCGCCTGAAGTCCCAGCTACTCAGGACACTGAGATGGGAGGACCGCTTGAGCCTAAAAATCGAGGCTGCAGTGAGCCATGATTGCACCCCTGTACTCCAGCCTGGGCGACAAAGCAAGACCCTGTCACACACACAAACACACGCACACACTAAGAATAATAAATATATGTGTGTGCGTGTGTGTGTGTGTGTGTGTGTGTGCGTGTATACATGAAATGAACCTGTAGCTCAGCCAAGTGCAGTGACTTTGCTGAGAGCCCACCAGCTCTACCAAGCCCCTCACCCTACATTCTCCATCCACCTTCTCTGGAGGTCACGGATCCCCCATCACCTACATTTAGCCAAACAGGATAAGCTCTGTTCTCCAGAAGACCTGCACCATCTTACCTCCTCTGGGCCTGTGACCTCTGCTTGGCACATTATACACCTCTCTCTTCTTACCTCCACCTTTCCAAATCTTTCCCAATCACTGTGATTCTTCTTCACCTTTTTGAGGAAGGTTCTCAAATACCCACAACTTAAACTGCCTCCACCAAGGAGCTTCCAGCTCCTTCCTCATGGCACATGTCTTATCCGTAATGGTTTATAATACATAGCAATGGCTTTCAACAAGCGCTTCTTCCTTGCAGTCAACACCTCCATCACAGTTCAAACCTGCACGAGAGGTTTGCATGTCTACCTCAGGCCATGGCTGTGTGCCTTTACTATTACTTTTTTTTCATGCATTATTCCATTGCATACTCTCAAAATACCATTTGGTGGCCTTTTTTTTTTTTCTTTTTCTTTTTCTTTTTGAGACAGGGTCTCACTCTGTCACCCAGGCTGGAGTGCAGTGGCATGATCATGGCTCACTCCAGCCTCTGCCTCCTGGGTTCAAATATTTCTCATGCCTTAGCCTCCAAAGTAGCTGGGACAGGCATGAGCCACCACACCTGGATAATTTTTGTATTTTTAGTAGAGATGGGGTTTCACGATGTTGGCCAGACTGGTCTCTGACCTCAACTCCTGACCTCAAGTGATCCGCCCACCTTGGCCTCCCAAAGTGCTGGGCTAACAGACGTGAGCCACTGCGCCCGGCCTACAAAATGTTTTTTAAAAAATTAGCCGGGGGCCGGGCGCAGTGGCTCACGCCTGTAATCCCAGCACTTTGGGAGGCCAAGACGGGTGGATCACGAGGTCAAGAGATCGAGACCATCCTGGTCAACAAGGTGAAACCCCGACTCTACTAAAAATACAAAAAATTAGCTGGGCATGGTGGCGCGTGCCTGTAATCCCAGCTACTTCGGAGGCTGAGGCAGGAGAATTGCCTGAACCCAGGGGGCGGAGGTTGCGGTGAGCCGAGATCGTGCCATTGCACTCCAGACTGGGTAACAAGAGCGAAACTCCGTCTCAAAAAAAAAAAAAAAAAAATTAGCTGGGTACGGTTACAGCTCTTTTACAATTTGTCTAGCAGGCTTTCCAGTTTTTGCCAGAAAGCCCCATTAAAAAAAAAATTAGCCATGTGTGATGGTGCATTCCTGTTAGTCCCAGCTACTCAGGAGGCTAAAGCGAGAGGACTGTGTGAGTCCAGCAATTCAAGGCTGCAGTGAGCTGTGATTGCACCACCACACTCAAGTCTAGGCAACAGTGCAAGACCCTGTGTGGGGAGGAAATATATATATATATTTATATTATACACACACACACACACACACACACACACAGACACACAACATAGAATTTACCACTTTAACCAGTTTTTTTTTTGTTGTTTTTTTTTTTGAGACGGAGTTTCGCTCTTGTTACCCAGGCTGGAGTGCAATGGCGCGATCTCGGCTCACCGCAACCTCCGCCTCCTGGGTTCAGGCAATTCTCCTGCCTCAGCCTCCTGAGTAGCTGGGATTACAGGCACGCGCCACCATGCCCAGCTAATTTTTTGTATTTTTAGTAGAGACGGGGTTTCACCATGTTGACCAGGTTGGTCTCGATCTCTCAACCTTGTGATCCACCCGCCTCGGCCTCCCAAAGTGCTGGGATTACAGGCTTGAGCCACCGCGCCCGTCTAACCAGTTTTAAGTGTACAGTTCAGAGGCTTTAAGTACATTCACAGTGTTGTATAACCATCACCACCATCCATGCCCAGAATTTTTCATCTTTTCAAACTAAAACTCTGCACCTATTAAATACCAACTCACCGGTCGGGCGCGGTGGCTCCTGCCTATAATCCCAGCACTTTGGACTTTGGGAGGCCGAGGCGGGTGGATCACAAGGTCAAGAGATCGAGACTATCCTGGTCAACATGGTGAAACCCCATCTCTACTAAAAATACAAAAAATTAGCTGGGCATGGTGGCACACGCCTGTAGTCCCAGCTACTTGGGAGGCTGAGGCAGGAGAATTGCCTGAACCCAGGAGGCGGAGGTTGTGGTGAGCCGAGATCGCGCCATTGCACTCCAGCCTGGGTAACAAGAGCGAAACTCCGTCTCAAAAAAAAAAAAAAAATACTAACTCCCCATTCCTCCCCCAAACCCCCATTCACTGGCAACCATCATTTTACTTTCTGTCTCTATGAGTTTGATTATTCCAAGTACCTCATACAGTATTTGTCCTTTTTTTTTTTTTGAGACAGGGTCTCACTCTGTTGCCCAGACTTGAGCGCAGTAGCACAATCATGGCTCAGTTCAGCCTCAACTTCCTGGGCTCAAGCATCCTCCCACCTCAGCCTCCTCAGTAGCTGGGACAAGAGTAACACACCCCCTACCCGGGATTTTTTTTTTTTTTTTTTGAGACGGAGTTTTTGCTCTTGTTACCCAGGCTGGAGTGCAATGGCGCGATCTCGGCTCACCGCAACCTCTGCCTCCTGGGTTCAGGCAATTCTCCTGCCTCAGCCTCCTAAGTAGCTGAGATTACAGGCACTTGCCACCATGCCCAGCTAATTTTTTGTATTTTTAGTAGAGACGGGGTTTCACCATGTTGACCAGGATGGTCTCGATCTCTTGACCTCGTGATCCACCCGCCTCGGCCTCCCAAAGTGCTGGGATTACAGGCTTGAGCCACCGCGCCCGGCCAAGGGATTTTTTTTTTTTTTTTTTTTTTGAGATGGCCCCCAGGCTGGAGGGCAATGGCATGATCTTGGCTCACTACAACCTCCCCCTCCTGGGTTCAAGCGATTCTCCTGCCTCAGCCTCCAGAGCAGCTGAGATTACAGGCGCCTGCCACCAAGCCCAACTAATTTTTATATATTTCGTAGAGACAGGATTTCACCATGTTGACCAAGCTGGTCTTGAACTCCTGACCTCAGGTGATCCACTCACCTTGGCCTCCCAAAGTGTTGGGATTACAGGTGTGAGCCCCTGGCCCAGCATTTGTCCTTTGGTGACTGCCTTATTTCAGTTAGCATAATGTCCTCAAGGTTCATCTATGTTGCAGCACCTGTCGGAATTCCCTTCCTTTTTAAGGCTGTTTCTGCCTTCAGGCTGTTGTGAAGAATGCTGCTATCAACATGGGTGTGGGAATATCTGTTCAAGTCCCTGGCTATATTTAAATTATTTTGGATATTTAGCCAGAAGTGGAATTACTGGATCATCTGGTAATTCTATTTTTGATTTTTTGAGGAACCGCTAATACTGTTTTTCATAGCAGCCGCAGCATTTTACACTCCCACCAGCAATGCACTAGGGTTCCATGAAATCACTAATTTTATAACTAACGTTTTTCCTGATTACAGACAGTACACGTTCACTGTAGAACATTTAGAAAATTCAAGAAAGAAAAATTTAGAAAATTAAAATTCTCCTTATTCTACATACAGGAACATGACTTGCATTTTTATTATCCCCGACAAAGAGAAGAAAGGGTTTTTCTGGGACGATTGTGTTGCTATAGTGCGGAGGCCTGCCCTGCTCGGATCTCATCCTCAAAGCCCCCCCGATCCCACCGTCCCCGCGACCCCAAGCATCAGTCAAGTTCATGCAGTTGAACTGGCTTCTGAGTATATACGTGGATAATTCCCGGGAGGGCCACAGACGCGACATGGGGTTGTCACATTCTCTGTGGGTCTGGGTTGCTAGGGCAAAGCATAAAATGTGTGAGGAAAGTGACTTGTCTACAGAAGCACGTTCTGCAAACGCACCAGCCACGTTCCAAACTGAGCATCGGTGTTTTGACCGGAGGGCACGTAAGGACATCAGTACAGTCCCGCAAAGACCAGCACCCATATCAGCAAGCAGAGGGCAGGAGAATTCCCTGCCCCATCTCACTTCTTTAAGTGCCTATTGGTTGCTTTCATCATTAGGCCCCGCTGCCCTCCTATCACCGCCGCCTTTTGTGTCTCGGCCTGTACTCTCATTGGTCCTACTTGCAGTCGCTCTACGTAAGGGGCGTTCCAGAATCAGCCACTGAGAGTCGCTGGATTCGGGTTTTAAAAAACGGCGGCGGTGAAGTGGGCGGAGCGAGCGATTTGAAAGCGAGCGGCGCGGAACGCGGCTAAGCACCGGCTCCTCTGAGGCTCGCGGCCCAGGGCTCTCCGGGCCTACCCAGACGCCAGCCTTTTGCCCCTGGACCCGGCAGCCCAAGCAGGAGCCGTGGGGCCGGGCGGCAGCACTCTCCTTGGCGCGCCATGGGCCCGCGCCGCCGGAGTCGCAAGCCCGAGGCCCCGAGGAGGCGCAGCCCGAGCCCGACCCCCGGCCCCTCCCGGCGGGGCCCCTCAGGTAACCAGCTGCGGCCCTGTCTCGTAGAGGAGAAAACCGAGGCTCACAGGCGGAGCTCGGATCTCCCGAGTCCCGGTCGCGTGACCTTCTCCTGCTGGGGTACAACACGGTTCCGCTGTCCGGCATCCGCTCCGGGCACGAGCGGGCCAGCCTTGCGAGGGACTGGAGCAGGCGGTTCCGAAAGCGGGAAGGGACCAGCTCCTAACGCCGCCTTCTTGTTAGGACTAGCCGTTACCCAGCGCCCGCCGCCAACCAGGCATTGCGTCCCTACCGTTCGTGCGTAATCTCAGCTTCAGGCCGTACGCGTTTTACAGCTAATGAGAAACCGAGGCACAGACAGGCCAGGGAGCTTGAGCAGAGTCACATAACTTGTTCCGGCGGACACAGGATTTCCAATCCTCTGTGTTTGTGCTTTTTTAAATTGCAAGAGTATTCTTTTTTTTTTTTTTTTTTTTTGAGACGGAGTTTCGCTCTTGTTGCCCAGGCTGGAGTGCAATGGCGCGATCTCGGCTCACCGCAACCTCCGCCTCCTGGGTTCAGGCAATTCTCCTGCCTCAGCCTCCTGAGTAGCTGGGATTACAGGCACGCACCACCATGCCCAGCTAATTTTTTGTATTTTTATTAGAGACGGGGTTTCACCATGTTGACCATGGTTGGTCTCGATCTCTCGACCTCGTGATCCACCCGCCTCGGCCTCCCAAAGTGCTGGGATTACAGGCTTGAGCCACCGCGCCCGGCCAAATTGCAAGAGTATTGACTGCTTTCAGTGACGATTTCAAACTGCAGTCCTCTTAGGAGGCGTCTTTCAGGGTTTTTTTCGCTTCCGGGAGAGACTGTTTGGACCTTGAACCGAGGCCCGCTGCGTTGCTCACTCTGTTCGTCTTCCAGATCTTGTTTCCGGGAAAAGGGGGTTGAAGTCTGTGTCTTCATTGTCTGTATGGTGGGCTGGTGGATGGGAAACGGGCAGGAGGACGCAGATCCCTGTATGGTACGGGTGGCAATAGCTGCTTTACTTATCTCTTAACTCTTGCTACATAGCTATGAACAAGATGGGGAAAGTGTATTGTGAATTTGTTTGTTTGTTTGTTTTAGAGGCTGGGTCTCCCTGTGTTGCCCAGACTGGTGTCAAATAGGTGATCCTCCTGCCTGGGCCTCCCAAATTGCTGGGATTACGGGCATGAGCCACTGTGCCTATAGGCTTTTTGGTTTTTTGTGTTTTTTTGAGACCCATCGCCCAGGCTGGAGTGCCGTGATGCCATCGGGGCTCACTACAGCCTCAACTTCCCAGGCTCAGGTGATTCTCCCACCGCAGCCTCCTGAGTAGCTGGGACTACAGGCATGTACCATCATGCCTGGCTAATTTTTTGTAGTTTTAGTAGAGATGGGGTTTTGCCATGTTGCCTAGGCTAGAGTAGGTTTTTCTAGATGTTGCTGTTGCGAATGGGATTTTTTTTTTCTTTCCCCAAACATAAGTATTTAACCCTTTGCATCCAGCCGACTTGCCAAATTCTCATTCATCCTAATAGTCTTTTAGTTGCTTCAGCTGGAATTTTTAAGTCGACTATATGTCACCTGCAAATAACTTTTGAGTCTTCCATTTTCGTTTCTACACATTTTATTTCTTACTGTATGGTATTAGTAAGGCCCTGAGACTCGCCAAGAGCAGTGTTTTGGCCATCTTTGTCTCGTTTGTAATTTTAACAGGAATATTAAGTATTATGTTTGCTGTTCCTTTCCAAGGTAGAAGCATCCTCCTACTCCTGGCCAAATGGAAGATTTCTCTCAAATGGGCACTGAACACTTCTTGGTAGTCCTACCACCTTTGCCTGGTATTCTTTAATTTTAGAGACAGAGTCTCACTTTGTCATCAGGCTGGAGTGCAGTGGTGCTATCTTGGCTAATTGCAGCCTTGACCTCCTGGGCTCATGTGATCCTCCTGCTTCAAAATGTTTTGTCTCTGCAAAAATATTGCCCAGCATGGTCTTGAACTCCTGGCCTAAAGTGGTTCTCCCGCCTTGGCTTTCCAGAATGATGGGATTACAGGAATGAGCCATCTTGCCTGGCCTTTGTCTGGGATTCTTGCTTTTCCATTCTCCCCATGACTATTTCTTTTTTTTTTTTTTTCCCTTTTTTTTCTTTTTTCTTTCTTTTTTTTTTTTTTTTTTGAGATGGAGTCTTGCTGTGTCACCAGGCTGGAGTACAGTGGTGTGATCTCGGCTCACTACAACCTCCGCCTCCCAGGTTCAAGTGATTCTCCTCCCTTAGCCTCCCAAGTAGCTGGAACTACAGGTGTGTGCCACCATGCCCAGCTAATATTTGTATTTTTACTAGAGGCAGGGTTTCACCATATTGACCAGGATGGTCTTGATCTCGGACCTCATGATCCGCCTGCCTCGGCCTCCCAAAGTGCTGGGATTACAGGTGTGAGCCACCACGCCCAGCCCTCTTGACTGCTTCATACCTTTTTCTCCCTCCATGACTTCCTACAGCTCCATTCCCCCCACTCACTCTTAGCTAATGATGGCCTTGACTAAGTGTCCCCCTTCCTATCAAAGCCACCCCTCCTTCTACATGGGCTCTTGGTCATATCCTTCTTTCACCTACAAGGAGCTTTCTGTTGTCCTTTCTACCTGTGCTTAGATAAATCCAGACACTTCACATTAGCATTGGCAAATGTGCTCTAGTATGTATGATCTTAAGAGAAAATGCAGGGGTGTTTCCTTGACCCCACATTCTCACCTCCCTATACCTCCCATTTCTCTACTTCCTCTTCATAGCCATCCTTTTAAAATAGCCAGACTTAGTTAAGTCTAGATACATTGTGTCTGATTCCTTCTGTCCTAGTGACCCTACAACCTACTTCCATCCTAGTGACCCTACAACCTACTCCAATCTGACCCCCACAACCACTACCCCTTGAACTACACCTGTCAGGGTCACCAGCACCTTTTGTATTGCCAAATCCAGTAGGCAGGTCTGTGTTCTTGCTGTGTCCCAGAAGCATTTGACACAGTAGGCCTCTTTCTCCTTGACGCATGCTGTTCCCTAAGCTTCCATGCCACTGTGGACTCTGGCAGTTCTGCTTATCATTCTTCACTGCCTATGCTGCCTCCTTCCAGCTCCTGGACATTGGACTTCCTCGATATCCTTTTCCTTTCTACCCCCTCTCTAGATGATCTCATCTCCTTCGTGGCTCTAAATACCATTTCTATTTGACAGCTCTCAAGTTTACAAATACCTGGATCTCTCCTCTGACCCCAGATACCTATATCTAACTGCCTTTCTACCTGAATGCTCTTGGTTATGTTAAACTTAACACACCCCAAACTGAACTTGTGGTTACTCCCCTCCAGCCCCTTCATCCTCAATTTCCCCATTTCAATAAATGGCACAATCTCCCACCCAGTTGTTCAAACCATGAGCCAGGGAGACCCCCATCTCCAATACAGATGCAGGTTCAGATAATTCTACTTCCAAACTGCATCCTTAGTCACTTCATTTTCACCATCTCTACTCCCACCAGCCTAGTCCAAGCCACCAGCATCTCCCAAGAGCAACCGTGAGAGCCTCCTAATCAGCTACTACTCTACTTCCTCTTGTCGCTTTCCAGTTCTTTCCTTACACAATACCTAGAATGACCTTCGACATCTCTATCCTGCTAAAAACTCTTCCCTGGCTTCTCATTACGTTAGGATTAAATTCCATCTCCTCATGTTGGCATTTCAAGACCCAACTACTACATTTTGATCCCAGTTCTTTTCCATGATCTCTCTAATTGGTTACTTTTCATAACCACTTATTCTTGGGTCATGAATTTTGTATCTCTGTTAACTCTCTGAGGTTATTATCCATTCTTCTCTCAAAGTTTCTATCTCTTTAGTAACTCAGTTTCCTCTGGTATTGGTTATTTGTTGAGTTTGGTTCTTCTATTTCATGGGATTCTCTTTCATGGGCACTCAACACTTCTTGGCAGTCCTACCCCCCTTATCTGGTACTCTTTATTTAATTTTAGAGACAGTCTCACCTCCTCTTGTCCCTTTCTAGTTAGTTTCCTTACACAACAGCTGGAATGACCTTCTTAAATTGCTGGAAGATCTTTAGTTGTGTTCATCCTCACATTTTCTGTGAAGATTCTGCTATGTCTGTTTATTTTTAATTTAATTTATCTATTTTCAGACATAGTCTCACTCTTTTCACGCAGGATGGAGTGCAATGGTGTGATCTTGGCTCACTGCAACCTCCACCTCCCAAGTTCAAGCGATTCTCCTGTCTCAGCCTCCCGAGTAGCTGGGATTACAGGTGTCCACCACCACACCTGGCTAATATTTGTATTTTTAGTAGAGACGGGGTTTTGCCCTCTTGGCCAGGCTGGTCTTGAACTCCTGACCTCAGGTGATCTACTCACCTCAGTCTCCCAAAGTGCTGAAATTACAGGCGTGAGCCACTGCACCTGGCCCTATGTCTGTTTATGAAAGACTGCCTCCAGTGAGTGTGGGTTGCTAACTGGTGGTGGGGAGGGAGAGAGGTGTGAGTAGCTTGTCTCTGGAGTATGGATCCTCCCTCTTTGAAATGTCACAAGTCTCTTGGACACTGCTGTGTTTTATTGACCTTTGCTCTCTAACCTCACCCAGGGATGGTCTCCTCTGCTGGCTGCCTGGCACAGGCCATCTCTGGATTGTCTTACCTTCTGCACTTGCTCTTACAGCTCTTCTGACACTTTGTGATTAGTTCACTGTATTAAATGCCTTCTATTTGACTTGATACGGAGTCTTTTTTCTTGGCTGGATCTTGAATAACGTTTCTGAAACTAATTTTATCCTTCAAAATGTTATTTTTGTTTGTTTGATCAACTTTTCAGAAGTTCACTCATCTTGGTCCTTGGTTGTAATTATGGGGCAACTGTACCATTTTTTCTTTAACTTTCATTTTCACTAATTTATTATCTAATATTTCTTTTGTTCTATCTTGTTTTGGTTTACTTTAATAACTCTCTAATACTTAAGCCGAATGTTTAGCTCAGATATCTTTTAGTGTTAAGGCTATGCATTTTCCTCTAGTACCATTTTGGCTGTATCTCGTAAGTTTGGGGATATGGGCTTTTTTTTGTTTTTATTCATTTCTAATTAGTCTGACTTAATTAAGTTTCCTCTTCAACACAGGGTTAGTTAGAAGAAACTTTTTTTTATTCATGGGTTTTTAATTTCTGGTTAGAGAATTTGGCTTTTATTAATTTCTACTTTTGAGAATGTTTTTAAGATTCTTTTTGTTGTTGCTGTTGTTGTTGTTGTTGTTGTTGTTACCAGGATTTGAACCAAGGGTTCTGACTCCACAGCCTAGGTGCCTAACACTGGCACTGAGTTAGGCCACTCCTTACACAGGTCTCAGCTTGGCCACTAATAAGGGCTGGCCAACTGTCTTCACCTCACTGGGCCTCAGGATAATCAAGATAAGGGAATTGTATTAGATAGTCTCTCAGATTCTTTTCAACTGTAAAAAACAAACCAAAATATAAAAACAAAATAACTGAGCTTCCGATCTAGGTGGGAAGGATCTAAGATTTGTACAAAGTCCTGCAAAGCCCAGAGGAGGGCAATCACCCGTCTGTTTGGAAGGGATCAGCATTGCGGAAAGCCTTCATGGAAGAGTTAGCGTTTAAAAGCAACTGCAAGGCCAGGTGTGGTGGCTCACACCTGTAATCCCAGCACTTTGGGAGGCCAAGGCGGGAGGATCACCTGAGGTTGGAAGTTCGAGACCAGCCTGACCAACATGGAAAAGCCCCGTCTCTACTAAAAATACAAAAAATTATCCGGGCATGGTGGTGCATGCCTGTTATCCCAGCTACTTGGGAGGCTGAGGCAGTAGAATCACTTGAACCTAGGAGGCGGAGGTTGCAGTAAGCCAAGGTCAGGCCATTCCACTCCAGCCTGGGCAACAAGAAGAAAACTCGGTCTCAAAAAAATAATAATAATAAATAAAATAAAATCAACTGCAAAGGATCATTCAATCATTTATTTAACAAATATTTAGCACCTACCTGCTGTTTTCTAGTTGCTGAAGATAGCAGCAAAATAACTGAATATCAGGTGGTACAAAAGGAATTGTGCATTATAACTGCAATTACTTTTGCACCACCCTAATAAAATAGACAGAAATCCCTGCTCTGTGGAATGGAGGCACATAGATAGAGTCTAGCAATTTGACAGCTTACCTGACTCAACCAAGCTGAGAGGTACTACCTACTGTCCACTGAACTTACCCTTTTTTTTGCTCAGGCGCTTCCTCACGTCCACGTGGTTATCGAAGGCAAGGTTGGCTAAAGGAGATCCGAAACCTTCAGAAGAGCACACACCTCTTGATAAGGAAGTACCCCTTCAGCCGCCTGGTGAGCTCTGAGGGCTTCCCGCCAACCCCCATGCCACCCTCCTTTTTCAAATTTTCCCAGGTAGTAGGGACCCTACTGTCTCTTACCTAAATGGCCAGGGGACCTCTTCTCTAATCTGGTAGAGGAATCTTCATTTCTGAAAACATGAGCCCTCCAAGAGCACCTTGTAATTCTTTATGGAATTGATTTCTAACCCCCACTGCCTGTAGTTTTTGACTGTATCAATAGGAACTCTCTTGTTTGTCCACCCTTGGAACCCTTTTCCTACCCTGGAGATTGCCTCCCATCACCCAATTACCGGTGATTTCTCCATCACCACTAAGAGATCTGCCGATTCCTAAGCTCCCAGGAGTTAACACCTGCTCCTAATTAGGTCCTAAGATAAAGGCCAGGAAAAAGACATGGAAAGGAGGATTCCCTGGAACTCACGGAGAGCAGCATTGTCCCTCGAGTCTCTCTTCTGTTACTCCCAACCCTCTCCATCCCCACTCCTTCATAGGCCAGAGAAATATGTGTTAAATTCACTCGTGGTGTGGACTTCAGTTGGCAAGCCCAGGCCCTATTGGCCCTACAAGAGGTAAGAAGGTGCCAACGCGCGATTGGGTGAGGGCTGAGTGGGAGAAAGAGGCAGCCTAGAATTCTCCAAGGCTGACTGGAGTGTCACGTGCTGAATCTGACCTCCTGGAAAAGAACAACAAGGTAACCCCTGAGGGTTTGGAGGCTGGATTCTGTGTGGTGATAGCAGAATTTCCTGGCAGAATTCAGTCTCATTCTGTGAACAGTTTCCTACAGTCCTCTGAGCCCTCAGAGATTAAGGTTAGCGGGTCTCCAAGAAAAAGCAGCTCATGCGCCTTCATCTGTGTCCGTCATTCTTTTTCTCTTTCTGTCTCCAGGCGGCAGAAGCATTTCTAGTTCATCTCTTTGAGGATGCCTATCTCCTCACCTTACATGCCGGCCGAGTTACTCTCTTCCCAAAGGATGTGCAACTGGCCCGGAGGATCCGGGGCATTGAGGAGGGACTCGGCTGAGCTCCTGTGCCCAGTGTTTCTGTCAGTCTTTTCTGTTCAGCCAGGGGGTAAGTGCAGCCGCTTTCTTGTGACTGGGACTGGAATTTCTTAAGGAATTTCCTTTCTCCATCCCTAGTTCCTCACCACCTTACCTTCCCTTTGTTCTCAAGTATAAAGGTTTGATCTAGTTTTGACTGCCTGGGACTATGTGGCTTGTGCCCTTTTGTACAATGTTAGATAAAGCTATCTTTCTATTAAATAACGGACAGATGACCCTAATTTCTTTTTGTTGTTGTCGTTTATTTTACGAGACAGGGGTCTCACTCTGTCACGCAGGCTGGAGTGCAGTGGTGCCATCATGGCTCACTGCAACTCCTGCCTTGGCCTCCCAAAGTGTTGAGATTGTAAGAATCAGATGACCTCATTTTGATTAAGAGAAAGTTTTCTTACTTTTGAAAATGGCTTGTTAATAAGTGTGCTTCCTTAATTTTAGGGATGATGCCAGGGACTCTCTGGAGCCATGACTAGACCCAGTGGAGTCTGCGATGCTGTCTAGACTTTGCTGTCTCTGAACAGTGTGTGCATGTTGCTTTAAACTTTTTTTGGGGGGGAGAAGGAGAAGACTGCATGACTTTCTCTGTAACACAGGTAATATATAAGACAATCGACATCGTTCCTAAGGCCTGAAAATAATTTTCAGATAAAGAGACTCCAAGTTTGACTTTAGTTTGTGAGTTACTCATGTTTTGAGGATTTTGAAACCATCAGGTTTGTTGTGGTATAGGAGAAAAGGATATGTACTTATTATTTTAGATCTGTCTGTACTATTTGCATATTTTACCTTATGTACATTTGTACTTTTATTTTACACATAAGGGGAAAAATAAGAGAAGACCACTTTGATCAGTTGCATGGAAGGCTGGGCATATCCAGCATAGACCTCTGCCCTTCAGAGTAGCCTCACCGTTAGTGGCAGCATCAAGTGACTCAGTGGCCTGTGCTTGTCAACAGATGTGGAGCTTTTCAGAAACTTAACTGGGGATGAATAGACGATCTATAAGCTTTGATGTTCTGGTTCCTTCTAGTCAATTCCTGTCAAAATCAATTCAGAAATTCTAACTTGTAGGATTTAACATTTTACTCTTGTAAATCATAGAAGAGGTATCATGTCAGTTCAGGATTTTAAAGTACTTTGTTGATGCTTTTACATGTATTTTTGTAGTTTCTTTGTAGAGAGCTAATAAAAATCAAAATAATTATTTAATGAAAATGGAGTTACTCCTATAGCATAGAGAGTATACTGTACTTTTTATGTGTTAACAATAAGTTCTTTGCTATACTGTTTGCAGACAGGCACAATTTAAGCAAGATAAGTGAGGGATGTGGTTTTGCCTCTGATGGAATAGAATATGACCAGATGAAAGCCTTGCCCTTCTGTTGTAACTGAGAGCAATTTAAAAGATTTCCAGAGACATGGAAAGTGTCACCCAAAGATACGAGATCTGTATGTGGTGAAAATGATTAGTGAGGGGAGACTACTAATAATGATGTGTCAGTCACCTGAGTTCAGAGACAGATAAAAGAGAAACATATTGTTTAATAATTTTCTCCCCACAAGACAGAGTCTTGCTCTGTTGCCCAGGCTGGAGTGTAATAGTGCAATCTCAGCTCACTGCAACCTCCGCCTCCCGGGTTCAACCAATTCTCCTACCTCAGCATCCTGAGTAGCTGGGATTACAGGCATCTACCATCATGCCTGGCTAATTTTTGTAGAGATGGGGTTTCACTATGTTGGCCAGGCTGGTCTGGAACTCCTGACCTCAAGTGATCCACCTGCCTTGGCCTGTGCTGGGATTGCAGACGTGAGCCACCGCACCCTGCCTGTTTAATAAATTTTAAGCCTTTAGAAAAATCTCTTCCTGTTTAACATCAACTTATGCAGGCATTTGAATAAAGCTTATCTAGCCACAAATATATTTAATGTTCTTGTCAGTGTCATTAGTTAGGAGAGTATAATCTTCCTCTAGTTTTCTTTAAATTGACATTTCTCAGCTCTCTTGAAATTGTACTAACCACTATATTGCTGCAGTACATGTACATCACACTCAAATGCCAGGCAGGATGCATGCTCTCAGCACGACACAGTATCTGTATGATAACATGAGAATAAGTGGTTTACATCTTGATGTTGTTACATAATATTGTTAGAGTTTATTATAAATTTTGAGCACTTATAATGTGTTGGGTTTTTTTTGTTTTGTTTTGTTTTGCTGGAGTGTGGTGGCGTGATCTCAGCTCACTGCGACCTTCACCTCCCAGGTTCAAGCAATTCTCCTGCCTCAGCCTCCTGAGTAGCTGGGATTATAGTCCCGCACCATGATTCCTGGCTAATTTTTGTATTTTTAGTAGAGACAGAGTTTCACCGTGTTGGCCAGGCTGGCCTCAAACTCTAGACCTTGTGATCCACCTGCCTCAGCCTCCCAAAGTGCTGAGATTACAGGCATAAACCACTGTGCCCAGCCGGGTTTTTGTTTTACATATTTTTTAATTTCTTTTTTAAATTTTTAATTTAATTTTATTTTTTGTAGGGGCAAGGTTTTGCCATATTGCCTAGGTGGGTTTCGAACTCCTGAGCTCAAGCAATCTGCCTGACTCAGGTCTCCCAGAGTGCTGGGATTACAGGTGTTCACCACCATGCCTGGCTGTATTTATTTTTGAGAGAAAGTTCTCACTCTGTCACCCAGGCTGGAGTGCAGTAGAGCAATCATCGCTCATTGCAGCCTCAAATTCCTGGACTCAAGCAATTCCCCCCACCTCGGCCTCCGAAGTAGCTGGGTCTATAGATGCTCACCCCACCACGCCCTTGTTTTATTTTTTTATTTTGTTTTCCCTACTTTCAGGGTGAGTTCATCAACATTCTTTTCTAACTTTTCAATTGAATTTTTTATTTTGGTTTTCACGTTTTTAATATCCAATTAACTCCTTATTTTGGGAAAGCTTCTTTTTTATAGTATTCCAGTCAGTCAGGTTTCACTTTAAAAAAAAAAAAAAGGGCCGGGCGCCGTGGCTCAAGCCTGTAATCCCAGCACTTTGGGAGGCCGAGGCGGGTGGATCACGAGGTCGAGAGATCGAGACCATCCTGGTCAACATGGTGAAACCCCGTCTCTACTAAAAATACAAAAAATTAGCTGGGCATGGTGGTGCGTGCCTGAAATCCCAGCTACTCAGGAGGCTGAGGCAGGAGAATTGCCTGACCCCAGGAGGCAGAGGTTGCGGTGAGCCGAGATCGTGCCATTGCACTCCAGCCTGGGTAACGAGAGCGAAACTCCGTCTCAAAAAAATAAATAAATAAATACAAAAATTGCTTGAACCTGGGAGGCGGAGGTTGCAGTGAGCCAAGATGGTGCCATTGCACTCCAGCTTGGGTGACAAAAGTGAAACTCCGTCTCAAAAAAAAAAAAAAAAAAAAAAACAGAAACAACTCTAGATATTTCTAGCAAAGAGGGATTTGGTGGAAGGGGTTTGTAGCAATGTCAGGAAAGCTGATGAGTCAAAGAGAAGAGGATGCCCAAAGATCAGGAAGCTGCCAGCACCCACCGCCATTGCTGACCTATTGGAAGCACAGCCTGACCACCATTGCACCGAACTGTACCACCGCCGCCGAGCGACGTCAGGATCCCCCACTGGGATCATTGCATCGTGCCCAGCTCTGCAGTGTCATTTTGATGTGTCTTAAGTATGGATTTCTTTCTTTTTTTTTTGAGACGGAGCCTCACTTTGTCACCGAGGCTGGAGTGCAGTGGCACAATCTCCAGCTTTTTCAGTTTTCTTTGATAGGAGAGTGGTCCAAATGACCTTCTACCATTATTGGAAGTTGAAGTTTGATGTGTCTCTTGATTTTCTCATACTTATCTTTCCTTTAGTATGTACTTATTGCCATTAAAATAAAACAAAACTAAATGTATTCAACATCAAACATACCGCATGCTGTCATATGTAACAATCAAGACTCTCAGTTGCAAGTTTGGGGACTCCCACCCAAACTGACTAAAGAGGAGAAGGTTCAAGTAACTGAAAAGCCCAGAGACGTTTCTGGTTCCGCCACAGTCAGATCAAAGGGCTCTAACAAAGTCATGAGATTTGGTCTCTCTCTTCACCCTTCACTGCTCCTGTTAGTGTCACTTTTAGGCAGGCCTCCAGAACCTGTGAATTTGGCGGGTCACATGGCAAAGAGGAATTAAGGGTGCTAATCAACTGACATTAAATTAGGGACATTTTAGAAGAAAAAAAAAGACAAAATAAAAAATGGGGAGAGGACCTTGGATATTTGACTGGGCCCAATGTTATCACAAGTGCCATTCAAAATGGAAGAGGGAGAGAGAAGAGTGTTAGAGACAGGAGCGGGAGAATGGTCTGGGGGAGACAACATTGCTGACATCGAAGACGGAGGGAAAGATCACAGACTGACCAATCTAGGTGGCCTCTAGCAGTGAAGATGCAAGGAAGCGGATTTTCTTCTAGAGCCTCCAGAAAGGAGAACAGGCCTGCCAACACCTTAATTTTTAGCCCAGCCAAACTTGTGTCAGACTTCTAAACTGCAGAGCTATAAGAATAAATTTGTGTTTTATCTAAGCCACTAATTTGTTGCTAATGTGTTACAGCAGTAATAGGAAACTAACACAAGTGGTTTCCCAAGGAAATTTGAGGCTTCTTAACAGGTAAGAGAATGTAGATAGGGCAGACAAAAATACCAGATGTCTACTGTACCACATGTGATGTTATGATAGACATTGGCTTTTGTCCACAGTTCTAGGCTCATAACTCCCATAGCCCTTGTTAGTCTTTTGTTGTAATGTTGGGTGTGTGTTAGGCCTCAGGAAATAGAATCTCTCCTCCTCCTGCCCTCCTTTCACCTGCCCCAAGGCAGGACTCTAATCTTTCCCAGGCTTTGAGATTGTGGATCTTAAGATCCTCCCCAGAGAGGCTCCCCCTATACCCTGGAGGAAGGAATGCTGAGGTCCTGAAGCTTCCATAAAAACCCAAGAGAATTCGGGAAGCTTCGGGATACCTGAACGCGTGGAGGTTCCTGGAGGGTGGTGCCCCAGGGAGGGTTTGGAAGCTCTGCATCCCTCTCCCCATACCTTGCCCCATGTGTCTCTTCATCTGTATCTTTTTTTTTTTTAATGCATTTTATTTCATTTTTGTTTTTATTTATTTTTTGAGACAGAGTCTGCCTCTCTTACCCAGGCTGGAGTGCAGTGGTGCAGTCTTGGCTCACTGCAACTTCTGCCTCCGGGGTTTAAGTGATTCTCCTGCCCCAGCCTCCTGAGTAGCTTGGACTACAGGCATGTGCTACCACATCCAGCTAATTTTTTGTATTTTTAGTAGAGACAGCATTTTACCATTTTAGCCAAAATGGTCTCGATCTCCTGACTTGGCCTCCCAAAGTGCTAGGATTACAGGCATGAGCCACTGCACCCTGCCTATTTATTTATTTTTGAGACGGAGTCTCACTGTCGCCCAGGCTGGAGTGCAGTGGCATTATCTTGGCTCACTGCAACCTCCGCCTCCCCAGTTCAAGCGATTCTTCTGCCTCAGCCTCCCAAGTAGCTGGGATTACAGGTGTGGGCCACCACGCACGGCTAATTTTTGTATTTTTGGTAGAGACAGGGCGCTGGGGGTTCATCATGTTGGCCAGGGTGGTCTTGAACTCCTGACCTAAGCTAATCCATCCACCTTGGCCTCCCAAAGGGCCAGGATTGCAGACATGAGCCAATGTGCCCAGCCATCTACATCCTTTGTGATACTTTTTGTAACAAACTGGTAAATGTGTTTCCCTGAGTTCTGTGAGCCACTCCACCAAATTAATCAAACTCAAAGATGGGGTCATGAGAACCCCAACTTGAAGCCAGTCAGTTCCAGAGGCCCAGACTTGTGACCGGTGTTGGGGTGTGGGCAGTCTTGGGGACTGAGCCCTCAACCTGTGGGATCTGACACCATCTCTGGGTAGACAGTGTCAGAAATGAATTAGAGGACACCCAGTTGCTGTCCGCCACTTGTGTGGGGAAACTACCCCCAACATTTGGTCACAGAAATCTGCATTGATTGTTGTGCTGTGAGAGTGACAAAAACATAGTTAGAGTTTTCCCTGCACACCATATGAAGCACTATGTCAGTTAAAAATTTTTTAAAGCCAAATGGCACATACATTTTTTTGCCATGTCTTTCAATGGCAACAACTGCAATTACTTTTGCACCAACCTAATATAC